GATGCTAGTGCATACGGTATAGGAGCCCGCATTATGCATAGACTAAAAGACGGCTCAATTAAACCGATTGCACACACATACAGGACACTTTTTCCAGCTGAGAAAAATTACTCTGTGATTGAAAAGGAAAGTTTAGGGATTGTCTTTGCTCTGAAAAAATTTCATAGATTCATTCACAGGAGAAGGTTTACTCTACAAACAGATCACAAACTGTTCATAGCTATTTATGGTTCCAAAAAAGGATAACAAACTCATACGGCTAATAGTTTACAATGATGGGGAACCATTTTACTAAATTATAACTTTAAAATGGAATTCTTACCATCATGTAAATTAAGTCAAGCAGACAGGTTGTCCAAACTTATTCCAAGGAATAATGAACCTTTAGAAGACATGGTCATTACTTCTCTACAATCGGAAGTAGAGATAAAAACGTACTATACAATACTGTGCAGGAACTACCTGTGACGTTGAAAGATATAAAAAGTAAAGCATTGAAGGACAAATTTATTACTGAAATGGAGAAAAAAACTTCAAGACAGGACTAAAGCAGATTCGGAAGTATACTCAATATGCAATGATGATCTCATGTACAGTGAAAGAGTAGTAGTACCTTTGGCACTGCAAAAGAGAATCTTGAAAGAATTTCATGCAGGACATCCTGGTATATCTAGAATGAAAAGCTTGATGAGAAGTTACATATACTGGCATAGCATGGATAGAGACATTGAATGCCTGGTAAAGTCATGCAAAGACTATGCTTTGGCAGCTAAAGCACCACCAATTAAGTTCAACTGATCACCCATGGTTACATCTCCATGTTGACTTTACTGGTCCACCTAATGGGACGTATTATCTAATTGTCATAGACAGTTTTTCAAAGTGGCCAGAGATATTCAGATATAACAAACCAACCACACAAGTAGTAATTCAGTTTCTACATGAACTGTTCACAAGGTTTGGAATACAAGATCTGATTGTGTCGGATAACAGCCCTCAATTTACATTGAAAGAATTTTTAATATGAAAGAATTTTGCAATTGCTTCTTACCATCCTAGAAGTAACAGCTAGGCAAAGCATTTTGTGGATACCTTCAAAAGGACTCTAAAAAAAGCCAACAGTGGATCCACAGATGCTTCATTACAGCAATTTTTACAGGTGCAGCTTACACCGAATAGAAATGTGCCTTCAGTTATGTCTGCAGCAGAAATTATGTTTGCACAAAAAATACAATCAGTTTTTGACAAACTTATACCCAATAAGAAAAAACATGATTAGGTAGTACAAAACCTGAAAAAAATTTTATGAAATTGGTCAAAAGGTCTTTTACCGTATGTACCAGTCAAATAAAACATATCAGGAAGTCGGAACTATCGTCCGAAGAATTGGCAGGATGGTGTATCTAGTAAAAGGTCCTGAAATGGTACAAGAGAGGCACTAGAATCAAATTAAAAGTAGGTATTTAACTGAAGAGAACACTACTCTAGATGAGGTTGAACCTATGGAGGTTCTTTTTGATACTTTCAATGTACTCATCCCTCAGAAAGCTTTGGAGTTAGAAAGAAATGGAGCAAAAGAAAAAGAAGGTATACAGAAAGGATTAAAGTCAACCCAAAAGAAAAAAATATTGACTCTGTACAGAGTAAATCCAAAAGGGGGGTCTTCTACATGCCGCTGGCAAATCTTATATGTGTTGTTTGTGTCCTAAGTATTATCATTCATTACCAACCATTGTTTGATTATTCTATTCAGTAACCTTCCCTAGGTTACAGTAATGTATAAATTATAGTAAACTACATGTCACTCTTTTAATATTGCATTAGTCTTATAAATTTGGAAAGTTTCACATTATTAACTATGTCACTGAAACTCCAAGAAACATTATGCTGTAATTAAAAATTATAATTATAGAATGTGGACAAATTTTTGAATAAAAAACATTCAAAAACATTGCCCTTGTAAGGAAGACAATATTATAAAGACATTACTAAGAAATGTATGCTCCATCTTCTGAAATTAGTTTTAGAAGTCATTTATCTGTTTTATGAGCTCTTGTATATCTTTGTATGAAACAGACTCCAGAAGAATATTCAAAAGTGTACCATTGCTGGCGAATTGCTTTCCCTCAATACAGACCTTCCTCTTCAGTATGGTCCACAAGTTTTCAATCCAGATAGATTAGACAAACAAGCCAGTTACTTTAAACAAGTGTTTTTAAAATCAATCTTATTCACTTATTCATTAGTTTCCTTTGTTGAATGAGATTTTAGCACTGTCGTACATAAAAAAAATAATATTTCTGAAAATATTTGATTTTTCTCGAATCATGATGACTACACATGTCCCCAAACTCTCAAAAAAAAAAAAAAAAAAAAAAATGTACATTTGAGCTTTCAGCTTAATACTGTCAGGAATTAATCACAGGTTCATGACTTCACTCTTAATCCCATCCCTAAACATCACACCATCTCTGCCTTGATGGCATTTCAACCAGTGAGTGAAATTTCTGATAGCCACTAAGTCTTTGTTTCATCTGTATAGCTCATTGAAGAAAGCCTAACATTTATGAGCACAAAGAACAGTTTCATTCAAGTTTTCATGTGAACAAATTCTGAAGAACTAATGATTAGTCTGACATTTTTCCACATGATTTAGGACCTGAATCTTGTGCTTTACACTTCTTTGCTGACGCAACACATTAAAATTTAAAAGTTTTTTTTATAACTTTTCTCTTGATAAGGAACAAAAATGGGTGTGTTAATTCTTAGAACTACTCTTATGAGATTTACATTAAAATCATCCATGATCTTCAATGAACTTCGTTGACTCATCAGTGGTACCTGATGATCATTATTGCAATTTCTTGAGTTGCTTTAAATTTTACAAGCTCTAAAGTTGTTAACCATTTCTCTTTATCTGTCAAATCAGCTATATGGCATATTTGAAAGTTTTAAATTCACAATGTGGCTATCAGTTTGAGACTGTCATTCAGATTTTCCATACAAGTGACTGTCATTTGTTTACATCTTCACATAAAACAAACCAATATTCATCCTAACAGCACATATGGGTGTTACCATCAGTCAGCAAATGAATCATTAGATTTAAATAAGTATTTATTTTATATATTGATAAAATATGAAGCAACTAATAATGTGGGACCCGGTGTGTGTGTGTGTGTGTGTGTGTGTGTGAACATCACAGCCAAATAGAAAATCCCAGAGGATATCAGAGATTGACCTCAGAGTTCATCAAAACCAAATAAACAATTTCTAGTAAAATGAACGGAGATATTGCTATAAAATACAAATTTTTTAAACATAACTGGTAAGGTAGATATGGTCTTTGGAAAAGGTTTGTGACCTTTATATTCTGTATTGCAACCAAATAATTACATTTTTGGAAGCAAACTTATACATGGGGTTAAGTCAAACAGAAAAAAAAGAGAAGTTAAAAAATATTTATTTTCTGTTTGTATAATTTAAAAAAATTTTTTTAATAAAAAGTCTAAAATGTTCAGAATTTAAATTTTTAAGCTGTTTAAATATAGATTAAATAGCCCCAAACTACAGAAACTAGCAGTGATTGTTTTCTTACAATAAGGATTCAATTGAAGAAAGACTCTTGAGGAAAATCAGCTATACAAGTCAACAGGTTTGGGGTACTTCAGAGGCTATTCAGAACCCAATTCAACACATTTTAACTCATGGAATTCAATTAAACATAGCAGAATCCATCAATGCTTCTTGAAAATCTTGACTCTCCAAAATTGTGCAACACAGCTTCACTCATGTCATTCAGGCAACAATCCAAACTAGTAAAGCCAAAAAGGATGATATGTTCATTTCCAGGATAATCCCAAAAGATTTGCCCTTTGACTTCAAGTAACTTCAGTTCCCCAATGAGGCTCAGCTTTGCAATGATCATCAACAAGATATAGATATAATCTCTCATAATGCTTTTCCCCATGAACAGATTATTTTGTTGGTTGTTCTAGGGTTGAATCCTCAAACTTTTCTTATAAGCACCTGGTGGGCGAAGCATTTATGTTGTGTATCCAGAAGCACTATTAAACTAAGAGACTATATCATGTGTTTTGTTTTAGGCATCAGAATATTTTTTCAGTAACAGATCCTTTTTCATGTCTAAATAGTATAAATAGTCCTTTCTAGATTTGTCATATTGTGTAAGAAATATGTTAAAATAACTTTTTCCTGTAATGTTATGTCTAAAATATTTTTCCCAGGGCAATGACAGGTATCTCTGCTAGTGAACAAATAGGGCCTTGTAGTTAAACTAGCTTCATCTAACTAATAATATACTTTGATCCTAGGCAAATACCAGTGAAAATAAAATTTACATTGCTATTAAGGTAACTAAAGAATTTCTCTCAAGTTTGTTTTCTTTGTCTGTTTGAATTTTATTTCCATTTTATTATGTACCCTTTGGAAGACAGAAGTTGAAATCGTGTTTGAAATCTTTTTAACTACTGAATACCTTTTACAAGGTAAAAAGAAAAAAAACATTCTAACAAGTGAGCTAAGAGAGAATATATTACGTAATAAAAGCTAATATTAATGCACACTTACATTCAGTGCTACAATTGAATTCAACAAAATTCTCCATTACAGGCTCCCAATCTATTTTGACTTAAGGATTCCTAACACGTTTACAAATAACAATTCTTAGTAAATGTGTTTCTTAAATTTGTATTTGGGAAGTAAATAAATTAGCTTCATAGAATACTATGAATTTTTGTTATTGCTATCAGTTTTATTGATAAATTGGGAAAATTACAGTGGAAAATACAAGTATATCATGCTAAAGCCACAAAGCAATGAAAAGAAAATGTTGCAAAATTAATGTAGTTTTCCACATTTATTTTAGGAATGCAAAAATAGACAACGATTTGAAAAAAACTTTCCCTAAGATGAAAACTACATCCAGAAAAGCAAATAACAAAAATAGCCACATTGTTGGAAAGAAGTTTTTAACTCACCAAAAGAGTTGTTGGAGTAAATTTCATCATCTCCTACATCCACTATAAGTTCTTCTTTAACATCCCCTGTCAAAGATGAATCTGCTGCTACAGCAGACGATTTTGTCACCTCTTTGTTTGGTGTCTTTTCATCTTCCAAGCTGTAGTCAATGTTGATACCGATTCCAACCAAGTCCAAAACATTAAATTTGGACTTTGACTGCCTCCTTGACCGACGTGGTTCTGCCAGGGAAGAGCTGACAGGGCTCTGAGAGCGTTTTCGTTTTTGACCTCTGTTTGGACTTACTTCATCAGGGCCCATATCAGTACTACTTGTGCTGGTGTCGGCACATTTTACAGATTTCTTTCCAGGGCTGTTTCTCTTGTTCATTGCCTCTTTACCTTGATCCTCTGCACTATCAGCCATAGGCAAGGGTGAGCTACTAGTCATCTCACATTTTACCTCACATTTTACCTCACATTTTACCTCACATTTTACCCCAGAACCACCAATTCCAGGTAAGCTATTTTTTTCATCAGGAATTTTACTTGTCTTAGTCTTTTTGAGAGCTGAGCCAGCATCATTGCTGCCTGTGGCTTCATTTTCATCTTTCTGATTTGTGCCAGAGGTTGAATCACTGACAATGCTATTTGCTTTAGAAGCTGATACATCTGATTCACATTTTTTGCCTTGTTTTTTATTTTTTATTTTTGTAAAAATTTTCAAGCAATTAGTCTCAAGATCTGCAATAGTTGAACTACAAGAGTTCTCTTCCTTAGAAACAGAGTTTTCAGTCACATGTTTCGTCTTCAACGAGCTGCTGGAACTATCTGCTTTCATAGAATTGCTTGCATCTTCTTCACTGAAATGATTATTCTTTTCTTTGACCAAGTCTTTTCCTTGGAGGGAATCTTGAGCACTGGTTAAATAACTTGGACTATGGTCAGAAATCAAAGGACTTGGAGAGTCATGGTCACTTTTTATTAAACTGCTAGAAACATTTGAACGACCAGAATCAATCACATGTGCTGTATCACTAGATTCCAACAGAGAATTAGTGCAATCAGCCACTGATTTATTAGTTTCTAGAGCAGAATTGGATAATCGTGTTTTTAAAATGCTGGAATCAGATGTAACACTGGAAAGTTCAGTACCTGATGAGACATTATTAATACCAGATGTCACATTACCAGAATCTGTGGATATATTGCTGCTGTTAGTGCCAGAAGAGACACATGCTTGCTGTTCAAAAGTGATATTATTGGTGCCAGATGTGACATGGTCAGAATCAGTAGTAGAATTTCCAGAATCAGACAGCTCTTTCCTACCAGAAGTAACAATATTTTGATCCCATTTTATAGCTTCTGGACTGGATGTAACACTGCCAGTGCTAAGTAGAGCCTTTTCAGGAGTAGATATATTTTTTTCTGAGGTGGCATTGCTAGCAATAGATGTGATACAAGTACCAGTAGATACGTTTTCAGATCCAGATGTTACACATTCAGCCTCAAGAGAGACATTAACTTTAGGAGAATTATACTTTTCACCAGATGTAACACAAGATTGTCCAGATGTAGTTATTCCTTTGTCAGATTCAGCATTATTATTTTCATTAGTTAGATTATTTCCAGAAGCAGATGTCACCTTATCACTAGATGCAGATGATACATTATCATTGGATCCAGATGTCACTTTTTCAACAGAAACAGACATTACCTTTTGCAAGGTGGTATTATTGACCTCACTACTAGATGCAGATGTTACTTTTTCACCAGACACAGAGGTTACTCTTGCTTTTTCCGGTGGGGGGTTTGCAATATGTGATGTTAAGCTAACAGTATCTGATACAACTTTGCTAGATTCTAAGAGATTATCAGACTGGAACCTGAGAGGTGAGTCAGTAGATCCTGATACTGTATCTCTTAGATCTGCTGCTGTTGTGATAGAAGGAGAAAAGTCTGATTTACCAGTATTTAACAATGGTGGATTATTAAGTGCACTACTGGGACGACCAAGAGAGCTACTAGCAACCTGGACTACTGAAAATTCAGAGCTGCTAGGCCCAGATGGTGAGTCACTTTGGTTAAGCAGGTAATTATTAGGATTTGATGAAATTTGACCAGATTCTGGTAATGAACTACTGCAGCTAGCTGCAGCCTCACCCTGACTGAGCATAGTACTACTTGGTTGAGAAAAGATATTTGGTTTCATATAACCTTGAGATCCAGTAGTAGAATGGAGGCTGTTGTGGATTGGTGCTGAACTTGTTGGTCTATTCTCCCTGGCATTGCTATTACTCAGGTGAGGTACTGTAGATATTGATGCTATATTATGATTTGAGCTATCAGAAGTACACAGATTAGCTTTTTTAGATGTTGATACAGAATAACTACTTGATTGACTAGCATCCTCCATCATATGTGGCTGACTTTCAAAAGAACTGCTAACTCCAAGCATTGAGCTAATGGAGGGAGAAGTGGTGTTGGGTTTGTGCTCAAAGCTAACAGAACTTGAAGCAATTTGAAATTGAGAAGCTGAAGATGACATCATCACATTTGATTGAAGTGAAGACAGTGGAGTATACAATGGACCGGATGTTGGTAGAGGGATGTTGCTTACAGCTAGTGAGACAGCTCCTACTGACGGATCACTGCTGCCACTAGGCCATACTGATACTGGCTTTTGTGTCAATGAAGATGATGACTTAATTAATCCACTAGAAGAAGGCTGAAGCATGGTGCTAATACCTGGCATTGAGTTGGTGGGACGGTGAATAGTACCAGCTGAAGGAGAGAAAACAGAACTGGCTGCAGTATCAACTATGTGTTGAGAGCTAGTTGGTGAGTCTCTAATACTGCCAGACACATAACTCAAACTGGATGCAGAAGGTACAATATGACTGGAAAGAGGTATAGAGCTTGGCATCACAGTATATGGCATTGAACTGCTAATGGTATGCATTGAACTCACAGAGGCAGGTGTTGTATTGCTTGATCCAGAAGGTAAGTAATTGGATGAAGGCATTGAACTGCTGGGAGGATGAACTGATGAGGGATAATTGTGTGCTGAGATAAGGCCAACTGCTATGTTCATAGTGTTGCTTGTTGTAGGCAGGGAATTATCTTTGTAGGGAGCCAAAACCGCTGGTGACTGAAAAGGAGTTGAACTGCTTCTACTGATGGTAGTAGTTGTTCCATGCTGCTGGTCTGAGCCTGAAGCGATGTTGACTACAGTTTCTACATTTTCATTTGTAGCACTGCCGGGAGGATGGTACATGACATGATCTACAGCATTTGCTAACAAGTGCATATTACACTCTTTAGATGGGTCTTCCAAGGGAGTCAAAGAACTGTTCACTGGGTTCAATGGTGGCTTTTCAGTCAGATACTGAGAAGCTTCCTGTTGTGGGTTCATATTCATTTTATGAAGGATATCATTAGTCACACTGTTGGGAAGTCCAATCTGATTCTCAGGTAAGGTTTCTTCCATAATGGATTTCTACCAATAAAATGCCAATCTGTAAAAGAAAAATATGAATTGCAATAATAACTGGATAATAATAAATAATTTGAATATAACAAAAATATAGCAAACTAAAAGATTTATATTTATAAAAATCAAGTCTTCAGACTGACATGAAAACTATAAAGTAAATGCATAGGAATAGTTAGACATCTTTATGCTTTATGTTATGTATGGTGAGGCAAGTGATTGTTCTAATGCCAATAATCTGCCTGGTCTGTTTGTCCATCTGACAGCTTGGTATGCACAGTGATGCTCTCATTTTGTCACATTTTGTTCAACCATACAACAAATAATATACTCTGAATGACTGCCTTAAAAATGATGTGCAAAATTTCTTTAAAAATTGTTGGCTGGATAGTTTTTGCTTACCCACTATATTCACCAAAGATTGCAATTTGGGATTACCATTTATTCCAGTTTTAAGAAAATTTTTATCAAAAAATCTAATTCCTTGACTTCAAAAGATGCTAAAAGCAGTTATTTTATGTAAAATATTTCAGGAAGAATAAAATTATGAAGTTTCCTTAAAAGATAGCAGAAAATTGTGAAACAAAATAGAAAATATGTTCTTCAATAAAATTAATGTTGAAAATAAACAAGTGTCTTTTAGTTTTTACTTGATAAACAGAACAAACTTTTGGGATAACCCAACAAGTTAAGCAATACAATGCCAGATTATTCTTCAACAAATAACATTTAAAATTACTAATAAAGCTACTGATTTGATAAGGTGTTTATTAGATTTTAAGTAGGAAAAACTGCTAGACCAGTATAACACATTTCTCTTGAGTCATGCCACTGATCAATAAATTATAGAACATTTCTTGTGATTTTTCAGTCCCATAAGCATTGCTGTCTACAAAAGTAATCAACACCAGCTAGTCAGAATAAAATCATAACTGTGTCCATTAGTTGTCTATTTTATTATAGCAGTTCTAACCACCAAACTATATCTACAAGTGCAATAACTTTAAGAGATGCTAACTTCCTGTTGAGAGTAACAATTACAAGAGAGAAAGAGAGAGTTTAAGTTAACAATTCTTGTTCATGCTATCACGTAGAGATGGGCAGTTTAACAAAAAAAAAAACAACTTTTTTCGGTTTCATCTTCACACTTTGAAACTGCATTGAAATTTTTTACAAAACCAAAATTGTCTGGTTTAGTGCTATCACTATTGAGTGACCATATCCAAAGAAACACTATTGAAAAAGACTTTCAGATGTTAATAAAATTAAATTTTATCAACATTTATAGTACCATTGTAAGAAAAAAAGATTGAAGAAAAATATGTTAAAAATGTGAAATCTATTTAAAAGAAATGAAGAAGAAAAAAGGAAATATGACAGATATGACACTTGAAAATCATAGAATGTTTTCAAACAGAAAAAAAAGGAAAATATGACATGATGTCTGAAATCTATTTGTTTCATTTAAAAAAAAAAAAAAAACATTTGGTGGAAAAATTAAGTTAACAGCAAAAATAAAAAAATAGTTGCCAGTTTCATCTTAATGTTAAATTTTATGAAGTCAAAATTTTTGTAAGGGTAATTGTTTTCTAGTAAGCCAGTAAGTACACCAATCACGAAATAAAGTTGTTGCAAACAAGAAAAATGAAGATTTTTTTATAAATAAATTTGGTTTTTATCTAGGGAATGCACCTAAATTAGATATTAAAAATAGTTCTTAATTTCACTTATAAAATGTATATATTTTCAAAACTGCAATCATTTTTTTTTTAACCCAAAGTAAAAATTATTCTTTTTTAGCCACTAGTGTTTGGTGGGTGTTCTGTCTATAAAATTCTTCTTAAACAAGGAAAATTAATTCATTTTATTTTTACAAATATCTTTATGGTTTTATCTAGCAAATACACTTAAGATTATATATCTAATAGTTATTAATTTCAGTTTTACAATGTGTATCTAAAAAAGAACAGGTGATACTCGCAGATTTGGAAATTATACACATTTTAAAAATGAAATTAAAAGTTTTTAATTATTTTTAATATTTAATTTTAGGTGTATCTGCAAGATAAAAACAAATTTATTTAGGGGCAAAAAAATAACTCATTGATTTTCCTTGTTTAGAAGAAATTTATTTGCAAAACCCAATAACAGTTGACTGGCATACCAGAAAAGAATTGCCGCATCTTTAATTATTTTAAAAACACAAGGGGGTTTCATCTTTGGCTTTTTAAAAGCAAATTATTATCAGCATTTCTGAATATAAATGGAAAAATTCTGTGCCTCTAAATAAAATAATTGCTTGAAAAAAAAAAAAAAAAAAGGGTCTGTCAGTGTCAGAGAGTATTTTCTATAATTTGAAAGTTTTTTTACCACACTTTTTTTTGTTTGCTTTGAAGGAATTTGCTTCCACAGGTCAAAGAAGAAATGAACATCTTCTTGGTTGTAGTTTAAGGTGTCTTCTAATTGAGTGTACAATTTCAAGAATATTGATAACGATTGGTCACTTTGATTTTACAAAACAAACTAATGTAAAATTTAGTCTCAAAAATGAAATAATTCGAAGAAATTTTATAAAATTTTCTTGAAAAATCTCTAACTGAAGATTAATTTATTGCTATCTCTATTCCCCTATTCAGAAACATATCAGTTACGTGTTGAGTATTATTGTATCACAAGAGATTGAGATTCCAGCCAAGAAATGAATTGGGCATCAATAAAAAGGTAAATAATTTTTAGGTATTTTAACCATGATGAACACTCCTATTGTCTTCAATGTACGAACTGAATCCTGACAACTGTTGCACAGAGTACCACAAAGTCACCAAACAACACACCTCAGGTTTTGAATTCAGAGTTTTTATTTTCCTAAACTGGCTGCCAACCAAAGCTAAAGGGCCCAGTATGCCCTACTATATGGCCATAGTTAAGAGGAGACAATAGAGGCACATTGTTATATTATAGTAAATTGAGTAATTGACTAAAATAATACCTATTTGTTACATCTTTTGTTTGTGTGCGTATATGTATATATGCCAATAATTTACAATTGCATGAGGAGACACATTGGTATGCATTGAAACATAACTGCAATTGTGTAGCAATTTTTACATTTTGTTTTAATAACCTAACATAAATATATAGGAAGAAACATATGATAAAAAAATACATATCCAGAGTAGCTGTACACAAAAATTCCTGGTGCTGGTTATAAAAATGGAACAGTCCCTATCCCTATGGTTCTCAGAAATTTCCACCTGATAATTGCTAGCTGGATGAAACTCAGAATTGAGGAATTTTTATGTAAAAACACTAGCTATTATCTGGTTATTATTTACTTTTATATATATATCTATAACGAGACGCTCATAAATATTCAACAGTTTAACGAAAAAAAAAAAATTCCTCAAATCTAAAAATACATATTTCTTGGATTTAAATAACTTTCAAAAAGGTTGAAAAGCCGTAAAAACGAATCAATGAATCCTTTGTTCAACTAATCAAAAGTATTGTCAGGTTGACTTCCATATAAAATACTGAGAAATCTTCAATGAATGAGAATCATTCCTCCCAAGGTTTATTCAGTCGACATGTTTAACATTACACTACATTCAATTATGTATCTGTGATGCGTATCTTTATTCCCAACTACAGATGCTTCTTTTCTTACAGTACATTTCCTCGGGCAAAGTAATTTAAAATGTATTAAAATCATTACCAATGCATTTACATTATCCATAAAATAGCCCTGTTGTCATATTGCCGTCAAATACAGAATTTGTTGAAATATATATTATACTAGCAGCATTGCCCGTGCTTGATTCAAAAATCGTACGACTCATACAGCAATCACTATCACTTGACTTAAAATATTTTTGCCTTTCCTTGCCTTTAAAGGAGTGCCCTTTGCCGTGCTGATGTTGCTACATGCCTTACTCCTTGCATATCTCACACTGCGAATTTTTTCTAAGCTCTATACTAAACATTAAATCTGTTACGAAAAAAGAACTAAACAAAATGAACACAAAACGATCAGCTTTAAAAAAGGACTCGTAACTGGAAAAACCGAATGAAAAAAAGAATGTTAACAACAAATACTTTTTCACACCCAACCCAGTTCTGCAGAATCAGAATCAACGTTGAGTTTAAGCAAGCGAATGAGCCAATTGGAGTAAAGTGCCATGCAGATTTAAATTTTTCCCACTTGTGACGAATGCAGCTATCGATTTTTTTTGCATGTTAGCATGCTAGTTAACATTCATGTCAGTCAGCTGTTGGCTTTCACGCTGGCCAATAGAATCTTCCTGCCTATTCGTGGCAGCCAGCTATAGGCTCTCACTCTGGCCAGTACAAAATGGCCGCAAACTACATGAAAATTGCCGTAGAAGCATGAAAAAAATCGATTATTTCCACTATCGATGGGAGTTGGGAAATGCAAAGTCAGTCTTGGCCTTCCCGCTGACTTGGAGCATGTGCATGTAAATTTTGGTGCAAATCCATCAAAAATTGCGGCCGTACATTCGTTGCACACACACACACACCCACCCTACCTTTAATAGATAAAGATGTATAATGTCCTGAACATGTAACATGTAATGTCTCAAGAATGAGAGATTTGAGAACCGAGTTCAAATTCTAGTCAAGTTTTTTTTACATTCACTTGTGTATAAATACCTTTGGGAAAGCAAATAACTGTGTCAGATTGTGTATTTATTGACAACTCCACTATCATTTCGAAAGTTCATCTTCAGGCATGAAACTTACTGAACATGTTTGGTTATTTTGGATTGTGAAATAAGAAAATTCAACAATGAGCTTTTCAGTGCATGTGGTTTCTAATCAAATGTCAGGACTCCAGCTCTATTGGCTGTCATGGATTTTCTTTGCCACCAAGCTGTAGATGATATGGTTGGAAGTTTGCTCAT